ACTACAAATTTATTGCAACCCTCGTATACAACAATCAATGAAGTAACTTGAGGAATTTTATTTAGAATTTTTAAAATATGAACGTTTTTATGAATCATACAGAAAATTTTCCAATTCGTAAAACAATTTAAATGCCATATAATATTTCGGATTGCGTGTTTAATTTTGCAATTTATAGATGCCTAGTTGTGTAATAAATTATTTTTATTTTCATGAAATCTTTGTATATTTTTGACAATTTTTATTCTCTTATAATCTATAGTGACTGCATTTAGTAGAACAAAATAATAAATATCTACTTTGGATCCACATGTATTAGGGTTGTGCCCAAAAAAATGTTATTCTTAAAATTTTTTGCACTTTTTCTTTAGAACGATTTCCAAAACATGAAAGATGATAATAAAGAAAAAAATACAAAATTATTGTTTTAATTGGTATTATTGGCTCATACCTAAACAACTATTTTATAACCTTCAACTTTGTAGTCCACCTAAATTTTCTTCCAATTTTTTTCGTACTATTGTTTAATTCACTGTTTTAATTGGAAATAACCCATTTCATTTTCTAACTTATCTTGTCTCGAAAGTTTAAAAAATGTTCGAGAATATCGCTTAAAATAAAATAAGTTTAACAACAATTATCAATTATAATTTTTTTTTTGTTTTTACAAAAGTTTAAGATCCCAAAAGAATAACAAGAGAAAACGGATCAATCTTCACATGTGTATATTATCTATGGAATTATATTTCTTTTTTTGTTGACAAATGTTTTAAATGCCGAATAATGTTTACATCACCAATCAATAAAGTAAAGAAGGAAAAGAAAATACGATGAGATTGATAAGTACATCTGGATTTGCAGAAATTAATTATATGTACATACATATATCCACAAAACATGTTTATTGAAAAACATATAAGTAGTTCATTCACTTAAATATAGATTCAGTTTTGAAAAATTAATATTATAAGATTTTTATCTGAAAGGTAATTATTATGGGCACGAATTATTACCAAAATTGGCGGTGTAAAACTTTTTGTAGATATACTGTATAATCAGGAACTTCAAAGCCCTACTTGAAGGGTTCGTATATAATAGGGGCTATATAAAATAGGAACAGATCTCAAAATTGTTAAAAGGCTTCGTCGTTTGGGCATATGTGTTAAATTTCATCAAAATCTCCACTAGAGTGCTGTAGGGTATAATGACATAGAGCATTCAAGGACGTAATAGAGCAATATGTACACAAATTTATAAAAAGTAAATAGCTAAGTATATTTACATGTATTTTGTGTGTATATTACAGAGGATTAAGGATTTACTGTACATATTCATAAGTGTAATTTAAAGAAGCCCTAAATTATTCTGATGTCGAAGAATGGAAACAAACTTAACAACATTTTAGTGTAAGTTGAAGGCTAAGAAATTTGTTATCATATTACTTGTATTAGATTGATGTTTAGTGAAATATTAAATTTTTAGTTAAAAATTTAAATTTTTTGTAAAAATAAAATATGTACCCTATAAGTATTTGTACTGAGTGTTTTAGATATTTAATAATAATCGTACTCATTGTGGTTTCAAATAATTAAATACATAGTTACTTAGGTTCTTTCGAACCAAAACCGAAAATTATAAGTTTAAATAAGAACAGTAATATCTATTAAGTGTATGTATATCTTATGCACTTATATGAATATACGTACATACATATACATACATACATATGTACATACATATAAATGATTTGGCACTGAGCCAAGAAGAATGAAGAAAAAAAATTTAAGAAATACATATACAAGCAAGAAGAAAATTGTATCTTAACATCACATCACATTAAATGTAAAAATAGAGTTATTCTAAATGTTGTGTTCATTTTTGAATATACATATTCACACTGTTATTAGGGGTTCTTAAATGGTTATTTAGGTTCCACTATTCAAAGTTAACCTTGAACATTTTGGATTAGTTTGTATAAGCTTACTTTTACGTGAAGACTATTTACCACTTTTATAGAGCATAGTGCAAAGCATCCGTAATGGTATTATCCGTCATAAATTTATTTTCTTTTGTAATCATTTAAGTCTAGTATTAGGCAATGTCTGCCTTATTATGGGGGATATTGCGATATTAGCATATTTGTGAGACAATATATGATAAAATTGTTTAAAAGATAGATCTATTAAAATGAAAAATACAGATTTCGATAGTGATGACCCTACATATAGTGTTACCCCAACAACATGATACGCTTTAAAAAGAAATGGTTGAAACACTTGAATTCCAAAACTTGTTCAAGGGATTTCCCGTAAAAACTTGTTGAAAGGATTTACCGTATTTTTAGCCTCAACAAATATCTACAAATAAGGCAAATATGTTTAAAATTTAACAGGCCTTTGCCTTCTTCTGCTCCAGTATAACGATTATTTTCTTTTAGAGGAATGGTGGACTCTCCTCGGAGAAATAAATTAATAGGTCGATTATGTATCTCGATTGCCACTTCAGCTGCATTGCCAGTGGCCAAAATGATGTGGTTACTGGATGTTTTTTAAGCAACAGCTTGGAAACTTTGTAAATAATGAAGTTTTATTCATTAATAATATTCGTCCAATGAGTTTTAGGTTGACTTGAATCATTTCTACACTGACCTATTAACGTAAACTTTCAATTAAGTGAAACATTTCTCTGTTGAAAAAATAGTGCAGGAATATTTTTTGAACTAATAATTTAGTGTAGAAAAAATTATTTCACTAGGCTGTAAAAACAAATATTTTTAAAATATTTTTAGTTACAAATTTTAAATATCATTATCACTATTATTGAATGAGGCTTATATTTTTCAATTCATCACTAAACTTTAATAAAAGTAGTGAATAATTTTGAACTACCAGTAATTATTAGTGACAAGACACTTGCTATCTATTACTTCGATATGAGCGGTTTCCACCTTGGTACTTGCCCATGCAAATTATTGCTCCCTAGTACTCTCCGCACAATTTTACCACTAATTTTTATTCACAGGACTGTCCTAAGTTCGTTGTTAATTTTTGGAGCTGATAGATGAATGTTCCTTCCTTATTTCCTTAGTACTTCTCTGTCATCCTGTATTGACAGCATTTTGGACTACCTGACAATTGTAAATACTCGATGGAATTCTTTGTTCCATTCGTGTAATGACAAAATATATTGTCGACGGGAATCTATCAAACATTTCCTATATGTATTTAATTGATCGGCCTTGATTATAGAGATATAAATTTATTTTTTAATCTGAATTGATTGCCTCTTTTTCTTTGAACATTTTAAGCTAATTATTATTTTTAATGTAGCATCATAAAATAACACAGTAATTCATAAAAAATACTAAATTCGAATATTTATGTGAGACACTGTATATTCTAAACGCAGTGACAAAACTAAGGAATTTCTTAATATTTTTCCAAGATCAGTTAACAGTTACATCCTTAATATAAACAATTGAAGCAATAAATTTAACTTAGATTTTTTAAGTAGAATCCAATACATGTATTTTTATATCGTACGTCTTACGGCCTTTCATTTCAGTATTGTTATTTTTTGCATTAGATACTCAGATATACATACATATGTACATGGATATCTATAGAAATAAAAAATTTTTTTAGTAACATGTAAAAAAACAATTGTATTTTATTATATAAATAACTACAAATAATAGCATGTTGTAGTAATATACATATATTTAAAAGACACTATAGTAAAAATTACCATGTCTCAACACATTTTTTCAATGTTCTTTCTTCGTAGTCATCTTTCTTTAGATTCATTTTCCATCATCTTTAAACATTGTTCCAGTATTGCCAGCAACTACAAAAAATGTATCTAACAAAAGGAACAATTAAAATGCAAAATAATATAAAAATTCAAAAGAAACGATTTATCAACATCTACATACGAAAGATGATTTTTTTCTCTGTTGCATTGTAATTTGAAGAGGTACTTTAGATGGCTCATTTGATTCCAACAAAAGATTCAACAATATGACCTGTATTGGAAAATATTCGGGTTGAAATGAGAAAATAAATAATTAATCTTATATACATACGTATATTATATACATATGTAGTAGAAGTTCACAGTAATTGGAACGTCTATGATTTTAGTGCACTAAATAATTTAAAATTTGCACTTTGAACAAATTATTTTAAAAACATGTCACAATAAGAGGTACCTAGTTAGTTTGATATCCGGTAATATAACTAATGAAAGGTGTCAATTGGCACTTTTCGTACTGTAGGGTAGTACTAAAAGGACACTGATGTCATTTGCAATACCTGAAGATACGTTAATTCATTATAATTTTGTTGCCATTTAGTAGTTAACTTTAAAATTTACGTTGCTCGTGTGTCGTTACCACCTTAAAGTTGTCTACTATGTATATTTTAAATTTGATATAAAATTATTGATATATAGTGAGTGGATAGATGTCATTTGTATGCCTTTGACCCTAAATTAGGTGCTAATTATATATTAAATGAAATGTGTTAATAGAAATGTTTTCAGTCTAGTCTAAACTTTAAAATAAATGCTTACATATTAATTCATACATACATACATACATATGTACATATAAAAAATGTAAGACGGATATACATATTTACAAATCCATTAGCAAAACATTTATTGCTATAATATCAAGCTTAATGTACGGATTTCCTTCAAGAAATAGATTTTGCCATCTGTAAGTTTTTGCAATCATTTCTATCATAATATCATAACATTTAAAAGATTAATTAATAGCTAACCAAACACTGATCAGGGATTGGTTATATTCATGAAATAATTATGATAATTATTGTTCTTAAAAAATAAATTAAACAGTGAGTTAGATCGGATATTAATAATGTTAACATGTGTACTAATCAAACAAAAAATTGAATCAACTTTGAATTTAACTTTTTCAAACTTTTAGCCTGAATTAAAATATTAAATTTAATTTTTTTGTTTTGTTTCTCCAACAGGACCCCCATTCACTTCTTTCAAACTGAGGTGGCATTATTTTACAGTGTGTAAATTAAAAAGTATTAATATAATACGGGTTAAAAAGCAACAGAATGGATGAGGAACACGACGACGAAAGAATATGAAATTAAATGGGGCTTTAAAGCCCCGCCAAGGAGCCTCCAAACAAGGAAGCTCCCCTGGTGTTGTCCAAAGAAAGTATCGCGTCAAGCGATATTATAAGGTGAATGAAAATGTAGGTCTGCCACTTAGTGAATGTGGTGTGAATAATAAACATTTAACTGAAATCATAAATAATAGTAATAATAATAATAATATTTATAAAAATAATAATCAGCAGCAGCATACAACACCACTAGCACAACAAGAACAACAGCAGCAGCCGCAAAAAAGGAAATGTGGTGAACATTTTAGTAGCAGCAACAACAGCAGCTTAAGTAGTTGTAATTTTTCTACTTCTACAGCAAATACTACACAATATAGTAATTCTTCAGTTACAACCACTAGGTCCAGTTGTATTGATTCGAATAGTTGTGGGAACAAAGACAAAATTCAGCAAACAACAAGAACAAGAGTAGCAGCGAAGACTGCAGCTGCGGCAGAGACTGTAGCAATAGAAAAATATAACAAAAAGAAAACAAATATTGAAAGTGATTTGAAGCAAAGAGCAATAAACAACATCACAACACGTCAATTTAAGAATACGAATATAAACAAAGAGAAGAATAATAGCACAAATAACAAGAGCAGCAGCAGCAGCAAGAAAACAAAAGAAGTAAAAGTCGTTAAAACGACATTAAATACTTCAAAGTATCACGTAATTGTTAATAAAAACAACAACAGCAGCAGCAGCAACACCAGCAGTGAGAACAATATTCATTATAAGGAGGTCAACAAGTCCTTATTATTAATTCCGAAATTTTATGAAAATCTCAATTTGACAGACTTAATTTCGCGGTTATTTATCCATTTGAAATTGTTGCTTTTCTTTGTGTTCTCGCACGCTATTAAACATTTGACCGGAAATCCATTCGTTTGTATAGTAGGTTGTCGTAGCTTCGGTTTGATTGGTTATAATTTAGCGAAAATCATGCGTGCCTCACAATCGTTAGAGAGTTCATTTGAACGCATTTGTTTTAAAAATGTGAACAAAACACGTTTACCCCCCTCAATTGCCTTATGTTTGTTGGTATACGCAGCAGTTGCCATTTTGCTGCCTCAGCCGGTAGTCGGCGATGATGGTGATACTTTCTTTCCAATCAATGGCTTAGAAACCACAACTCCGGAATTCGGTAAGTAGAGGAAAACATAAATTAACAATTCCATCATATTGTATTTATATACCCATTATCGTCTTTTATATTTTCTTTTTGCAAATCGTCTGTCTGTCTGCTAGTTTTGTTAATTTTCAATAATTTCATTACACTATTGAACAATTTGTTTATTTACTACAAATAAATCGCGTTGATAGAAACAAACTTTTCAATTTCAATAGTTTTTTGCTTCTCCTGTAAAATTTAAAAAATGTTAGATAGGGCCGTTTGCGTTTTAGGTGACGATATGTATGTATGTACATATGAATAAGTAATACATATAACTCATACGTTGTCATGATTGTGTATAATTATATTCGTTGATTTTTTATTCAATGCAGATTATGCCAGTCGTGGTCAAAAGAAGTTCGGAGATAAATGCGAAAATACTTTAGAATGTGGTTTCCCTGGCTCCATCTGTGATCCAAAGAAAAAATCATGTCAGTGTACAGAGGATTTGCCGGTAACTAATCACATTGATAAATGTGGTAAAGGTAAGTTTGTCACTTTAAATCACCTTACGACACACCACAACTTAACCACATTTTAAAACAATAATAACAACAGCAACAACAAAAGTTTTTCACCCTTAAAGTCGTAGATAATTGAGTTCAAAGAGGAAAAAATTATTATGTATATTAGAGTTTTAAACTGTATAAGTTGGAAATTTTCTTTTTCCGACCTGAAGCAAAACTATAGCTTACTCTTACATAAAAAACTAAACATTTTCAAAACTTTGTTGTCGTTTCATTACCAGTAATAATCAGTTACCAAAATCTTAATGTTAAAAACTTAAAAAATAAAGAAACTAAATTTGATAATAAAATTGGGATATTCGCTTTATTCATTAAACAACCATCGTATCGGTTTATGCAAATTTATATTAGTACATATTTTTTCAAATTTTAATATTATTCCCTTTGAGATATGTACATGAAAAATCAATTTATTATGCGACATATTTTGTAAACATTTGATAATACAAAAGCAACATACTTTATATTTAAAATCGGACTCTGTTTGTGCTGAACAGCTTTGTAGTTTTAAAGGTGGCAATTACCACCTTTAACATTTCACATTTTACGAACATTCTTTAATCGTAGTTGCTGTCTCCTATTTCCTCTATTCCGAATATAAATTTAATAGCGAAAAATGGCAAACATGGAAATTGAACAATTTCAGAACGACAAGGCGTTTTTTTAATTTTGTGTATTAGGTTCTTTATCCGTGGAAATGAGTGTACATTAGAATGGTTTTCGAAAATAAGAAGGAAAGTTGTTGTTTTATACTTACATATTTTGAACCAATTAAAAAAGTAACAAAATTTTTATAAACTCAAAATTCCGATGGATATATGTACTTAAAATAAAAGTATTTTTTAAAAAATTCTACTCTTTCGATTTTGTGACATTGACATTTTCCAGTGCCATCCTTGTGTTTTCATGTGTTATGGCGCCATCATCACTTGTGGCTTTCATTTGTTCTTATTTCATTAAAATGTCTTGTTTGTTTTACATACATATTTCATGTACATAACTTAAGTGTTTTGTTATTTAATAAGTTTCATTTTTTAAATTTAATCTAGGCCAAGATTTTACTCAATTTTAAAGTGATTCTGCAAAGAATACATAAATTAACTCCAAATGGCGAAGTATGTAAAATGAATTTAATATCCAAAGAATTTTAAGAGGGACAATTTTTAAAACTCTCTGTTGCTGTTTAAAACGTCAGCAGATTAAAAAAATGTATTTCTCTAATTCGCCAGTCTACAAAGAAATCTATATGTAACAAGAAAGAGTGCTAATGCGGCTTTGCCGAATTTTATATACCCTTCACCATAGTGTTTAATTTCGATTTTTCTGGTTGAAAACATAAAATCACTTATAACTTCGTTAAAACACGTTTAAATTGAAAAGTAAGCTTATTTTGTGATCACCCATATTTTCCTTCAATAATCGATTTATTGATCGAAATCATAAAATGACTTAGAACTTCGTTAAAACACGCTTAATTTGAAAAATAAGATTATTTTGTGATCACCCATATTTTCCTTTAAAACTCGATTTATTTATCGAAAACATAAAATCACTTATAACTTCGTTAAAACATGTTAAAATTGAAAAATAAGGTTATTTTGTGATCACCCATATTCTCTTTCAAAAATTGATTTATTGATCGAAAACATAAAATCACTTATAACTTCGTTAAAACACATTTAAATTGAAAAATAAGCTTATTTTGTGATCACCCATATTTTCCTTCAAAAATCGATTTATTAATCGAAAACATAAAATCACTTATAACTTCTTTAAAACGCGTTTAAATTGAAAAATATGGTTATTTTGTGATCACCCATATTTTCCTTCAAAAATCGATTTATTAATCGAAAACATGAAATTACTTATAACTTCGTTAAAACACGTTTAAATTGAAAAATAAGCTTATTTTGTGATCATCCATATTTTCCTTCAAAAATCGATTTATTGATCGAAAACATAAAATCACTTATAACTTCGTTAAAACGCGTTTAAATTGAAAAATAAGCTTATTTTGTGATCACCCATATTTTCCTTCAAAAATCGATTTATTGATCGAAAACATAAAATCACTTCAAAAATCGATTTATTGATCGAAAACATAAAATCACTTATAACTTCGTTAAAACGCGTTTAAATTGAAAAATAAGGTTATTTTGTGATCACCCATATTTTCCTTCAAAAATCGATTTATTGATCGAAAACATAAAATCACTTATAACTTGGTTAAAACGCGTTTAAATTGAAAAATAAGGTTATTTTGTGATCATCCATATTTTCCTTCAAAAATCGATTTATTGATCGAAAACATAAAATCACTTATAACTTCTTTAAAACACGTTTAAATTGAAAAATAAGCTTATTTTGTGATCACCCATATTTTCCTTCAAAAATCGATTTATTGATCGAAAACATAAAATCACTTATAACTTCGTTAAAATACGTTTAAATTGAAAAATAAGGTTATTTTGTGATCACCCATATTTTCCTTCAAAAATCGATTTATTGATCGAAAACATAAAATCACTTATAACTTCGTTAAAATACGTTTAAATTGAAAAATAAGGTTATTTTGTGATCACCCATATTTTCCTTCAAAAATCGATTTATTGATCGAAAACATAAAATCACTTGTAACTTCGTTAAAACGCGTTTAAATTGAAAAATTAGGTTATTTTGTGATCACCCATATTTTCCTTCAAAAATCGATTTATTGATCGAAAACATAAAATCACTTATAACTTCGTTAAAACACGTTTAAATTGAAAAATAAGCTTATTTTGTGATCAGCCATATTTTCCTTCACAAATCGATTTATTGATCGAAAACATAAAATCACTTATAACTTCGTTAAAACGCGTTTAAATTGAAAAATAAGGTTATTTTGTGATCATCCATATTTTCCTTCAAAAATCGATTTATTGATCGGAAACATAAAATCACTTATAACTTCGTTAAAACGCGTTTAAATCGAAAAATAAGGTTATTTTGTGATCATCCATATTTTCCTTCAAAAATCGATTTATTGATCGAAAACATAAAATCACTTATAACTTCGTTAAAACACGTTTAAATTATTATTTTGTGATCACCCATATTTTCCTTCAAAAATCGATTTATTGATCGAAAACATAAAATCACTTATAACTTCTTTAAAACGCGTTTAAATTGAAAAATAAGGTTATTTTGTGATCACCCATATTTTCCTTCAAAAATCGATTTATTGATCGAAAACATAAAATGACTTATAACTTCGTTAAAACACGTTTAAATTGAAAAATAAGGTTATTTTTTGATCACCCATATTTTCCCTCAAAAATCGATTTATTGATCGAAAACATAAAATGACTTATAACTTCGTTAAAACACGTTTAAATTGAAAAATAAGGTTATTTTTTGATCACCCATATTTTCCCTCAAAAATCGATTTATTAATCGAAAACATAAAATCACTTATAACTTCTTTAAAACGCGTTTAAATTGAAAAATAAGGTTATTTTGTGATCACCCATATTTTCCTTCAAAAATCGATTTATTGATCGAAAACATAAAATGACTTATAACTTCGTTAAAACACGTTTAAATTGAAAAATAAGGTTATTTTTTGATCACCCATATTTTCCTTCAAAAATCGATTTATTGATCGAAAACATAAAATCATTTATAACTTCGTTAAAACGCGTTTAAATTGAAAAATAAGGTTATTTTGTGATCATCCATATTTTCCTTCAAAAATCGATTTATTGATCGAAAACATAAAATCACTTATAACTTCTTTAAAACGCGTTTAAATTGAAAAATAAGGTTATTTTGTGATCACCCATATTTTCCTTCAAAAATCGATTTATTTATCGAAAACATAAAATCACTTATAACTTCTTTAAAACGCGTTTAAATTGAAAAATAAGGTTATTTTGTGCTAATGCGGCTGTGCCGAATTTTATATACCCTTCACCATAGTGTTTAATTTCGATTTTTGTGGTTGAAAACATAAAATCACTTATAACTTCTTTAAAACGCGTTAAATTTGAAAAATAAGGTTATTTTGTGATCACCCATATTTTCCTTCAAAAATCGATTTATTGATTGAAAACATAAAATCACTTATAACTTCGTTAAAACGCGTTTAAATTGAAAAATGAGGTTATTTTGTGATCACCCATATTTTCCTTCAAAAATCGATTTATTGATCGGAAACATAAAATCACTTATAACTTCGTTAAAACGCGTTTAAATCGAAAAATAAGGTTATTTTGTGATCATCCATATTTTCCTTCAAAAATCGATTTATTGATCGAAAACATAAAATCACTTATAACTTCTTTAAAACGCGTTTAAATTGAAAAATATGGTTATTTTGTGATCACCCATATTTTCCTTAAAAAATCGATTTATTAATCGAAAACATGAAATTACTTATAACTTCGTTAAAACGCGTTTAAATTGAAAAATAAGCTTATTTTGTGATCACCCATATTTTCCTTCAAAAATCGATTTATTGATCGAAAACATAAAATCACTTGTAACTTCGTTAAAACGCGTTTAAATTGAAAAATTAGGTTATTTTGTGATCACCCATATTTTCCTTCAAAAATCGATTTATTGATCGAAAACATAAAATCACTTATAACTTCGTTAAAACACGTTTAAATTGAAAAATAAGCTTATTTTGTGATCAGCCATATTTTCCTTCACAAATCGATTTATTGATCGAAAACATAAAATCACTTATAACTTCGTTAAAACGCGTTTAAATTGAAAAATAAGGTTATTTTGTGATCATCCATATTTTCCTTCAAAAATCGATTTATTGATCGAAAACATAAAATCACTTATAACTTCTTTAAAACACGTTTAAATTATTATTTTGTGATCACCCATATTTTCCTTCAAAAAACGATTTATTGATCGAAAACATAAAATGACTTATAACTTCGTTAAAACACGTTTAAATTATT